TGTGATGACGTCGCACATCAAAAAAAGGAAAAAGTGTCTCTGATAAAGTACACTTACAGTGATATGTTTTAGGACAGACAAAGTTATTACCTCTGCTTCCAGTTGTAAGTAGATAATAACGTTTGAAGTATTATCTCAAATATTTTTTATCAATAAGACGCCAAGCATCTAGTCATCTAGGCAACATGATTAAAACAAAATTAATTTTTAATAAGCATTCAATAAGCTTTAAAATGAACAAAAGGTACACAAGACCGTTAACAAGTAACATTTCAGTATTATCCCAAAAAGATTTTATCATTATGACGTTGAACATTTATTTTGTATTCATAATAATGAGAGAACATGATTAAAACAAATTGAATTTGAAATAAGCATTCAATAATCTCTAAAGGAACAAAAGTACACAAGACCGTTTAACAAGCCACATTTATACATAGTTCATTCATTATTGATTTCAATGAAAGCATTGCTTTCAACAAAATATAAGCCAATTAAGTAAAAAGCAATCAATAACGTCAGAATTAATCAAATTAAATATATTAGGAAGATTTCAATTGCAGTATGACGGTAGGATGTATAATGTAATGACGTTAAAAGTGATCAGCGCAAGCGAAAACATTAAGTTCTCATTGCGTAGATTTTTAGGACGCAGAGACCGTAGGACGCCTGGTAGGACGGTCTCGCATGAGTGATTCCGTTCAAGCGTCGCGCCTTCGTACAAATCAAAAGCTCCCTAATATCTAGGGGCGTAGACTGAAAGAGGGGGTATGGGGTTGCGGCCACACTCGACATCCCCATCCCCCCCCCCAAAAAAAAAAAAAGAGGGAAAAAAGTTCCGCTGGTGTAGACCTAAGCCTAGGCCTGCCTAGTACTACAGTGGAAAATTTGCAGGGCAGCAAGTATAACTTGATTAGGCCCAACAAAAGTACAAACCTATGATATGCCTAGTCATATTAAAAACAAAATAAAAACTTGTGTTTTATCCCAAATGAATACACACTACAGTGTACTGTAGTGTATTCTTTTCCTTCCTTATTGTTTACGTGCTGGCGTTAATTGTGCTTTTTTATTCATTACACGCATGAGCAGTTTTATAATTAACGACGAAGTTCTTTATTTTGCCAGTAGATTGTAACATTAAAACAGACACTGGTATCTACAGAGGAGAAAAATGAGCAATAAACACAAGAAAATTTGTCACGCTCTTATTTATATTATTCTTAAACTTTGACGAAAAACTTGGTTAATGAGATAAAAGGCGCTTAATAAAATATTGATTTTTTAATATTTAAAAACTTCGGCAAAATATGTAAAAAGAGGTACCTGTATGCTCTTTTATTTATATATATATATACTGTCTCTTATACACACCT